CGTGAGTTAATAGATAGCAGTGATGAGAAGCATATCATATGAACGTGTATTAAATATTTTACATGAACAAATAAGTATGAAAAAGCTTTCGACAAGATGGGTCCCGCCTTTACTCACAACTGACCAAGAATGACAACGACTTCGTTATTCAAATCGTTGACTTCCGTATTTTGGGATTCATGTGAAATAATTTTCACAGACTACTTGGAAAAAGGAGAAACAATAACATCAGATTACTATTAAATAAGCAAACCAATTAAAAACGACCACATTTATCGAAGAAAGAAATTCCTATCGTGTTCTCCATATGTGGCTCTCTGTGACTATTACCTGTTTCCAAATTTGGAAAGATTACTCCAGGGAAAGAGATTTGCATCAAATGATGAAATGGAATGGTAAACTAAGGTATAAGGGTTTCATAAATTTTCGAAAATCGGAGAATTTTCCACGGCACTACCAGATCGGTTCATTTTACTAAAAAAAAAAATTTTAGTTTAATTTGATAAGTGAAAATAGTGCCCCAAGAGCCCCAAAGATTGGAAGATAACCTATTAAATTCATATTTAATTGATTATATCTCCGACATATTTAATTTTAAATAAAAATTGTCTTTCCAAGAGTTATAGATCCATTAAAAATGAACAATTCATTCATACAAATTTTCTGAGCTAGATGCAGTTTGTTTGCATTGGGATGGAAAATTACTGCCACCTTTAGAAGGAAAACAAAATGTGGACCGCCTACCTATTACAATCTCAAGTGGGTCTGTTGAGCTTATTACTTGAAGTACCTGCATTGAAAAATGAAAATGGTACCGGAAGAGCACAGGCATCTGTTATTTGTAAATCAATTTTTGGATGGGGTTTGCAGGATCACGTGCAAGCTTTACTTGTTGATACGATAGCTGTAAAGACTTGTCCTTTTAACGGAACTTGCTAAGTTATTGAAAAACATTTAGAAAAAGATCTTTCATATTTAGCTTCCAGACATTACATTTATGAAATTATTCTTAAAAGTAATTTCCATGCTAAGATTTCCAAGTCTGAAAGCCCAAATGTCGAACCTTTTCAACAACGTTGATAAGTTTACAGTGGGCTTAGAAAATGAAAAAGTAAGAAAATTGTTGAACGCAGATGATGTGCTACGAATTACAAGTTTCCTTAATAAGATTCGTAAGGATAACTAACCAAGAGATGACTATAGGGAACTTCTGGAACTTCTATTCACAATTTTTGGAGAAAAGTCAAACTGCAGCATAAGCATTCGATCTCCTGAAGCTGTTCATCACGCAAGATGGATCGCAAAAGCCATCTATGCATTAAAAATAATTTTATTTATTGATGGAGATATTGCAGAAATTATGTAATCATCATTGGTATTTAAGAGATTAGAGCTTGTTGGGATTGGGCATATGGGCATTTTTCGATTCCAATATATCACCAGAGATAGAGGCAAAGATGGTTTCAAATTTGAATATAGAAAGTGATGACATGGAAGTAAACAGATAATCAATAGACTCTGCAAAAATAACTGAAATCATCGAAAAGAGAATGGAATTGTTTGTAAACAATACTAAACAAACAAACATACTAAAAACATTTTTAATCGTTTCAAGTTGTGCGATGACTTCTTGGAAACATGCCCCATGAAATGGCATGAAGACCTTAGTTTTATTTAAGCTAAAAAAACGTTTTTAAGATAAAAGGTAGTAAACAATACGGCAGACTGAGGAATGAAATTAATGCTGGGATATAATTCAATTTCAACAAAAAATGAGAATCAAAAACAATACACATTAAAAATTGTTAAGCATTGCCGCTGTCATTTTCCAAATTCTAATAGAGATACTTTGTTCCAGCAACTTTAAATAAAATAATAAAAATTACGTTGGAGAAAACCAGAAACCTTTTTACGGGTATTAAAAAAAATGAAACTATAGCAATTTTTGTAAAGCTGAAGCGGACAATCACTGTCATAACACTTACAAACCCAGCAATCGGGTGTTTTCAGCTCATTCTTTCTTCTATTCAATAATTATTAGAAATACAAAAAAATTTCGTATGAATGAATTGTTCACTTTTAATAGATCTATAACTCTTGGCAAGACAGTTTTTATGTGAAATTAAATATGTCGGAGATATAAACAATCAAATATGAATTTTATGGAAAAAATGGTTATTTTCCAATCTTTAGGACCCGTGGGGCGCCATTTCCACTTATCCAATTGAACTAAAATTTACACAGATTATTTTTTTTTTAATTAAATGAACAAATCTGGGGGTGCCGTCAACCGACTTTTCGGAAAAAAAATTTCTCATATACCTTAATGATACCCTACTGAGGTATATTTTGGAAGATATGATAAATCGTATTATTTAAAAAGTATCCACATGTTAAAAGGTAGTATGACTCGGTGTGTCGTAGTAAAAGAAGACTATATTCAAGCATAATATATAATTTTCCAAAAAAATGCATTTTTTACTTATATCAGGTACTCATCAATCCACCTAGTAGATTTGAAACTTTGTTTAAGCAAAATATTAAAAAAACTGATAAAATTTTTATTACGTTTGGAATACTTATTACTGAATGGCTTATATCAATTTGCGCAGATATGCAGGATCATTTAATATATGATACACATACATGTTAGCATTATGTACAACTATTGTGTTTTATTTATACCTATGTATACAATATCATGTTAGGATTCAAAAAGTCCCTTTACTTTCATATTTAAAATAGTTTATTGAGCATTAACATGTACACACAATATGCCACGGAAGTTTATATACAGATCCGACAACACTGACATTCTAGAGGTGTTTAAAGAGCCGGTGATAAAACAAAGGTTAAATCATATCCATGTTTTCAATCCCAATAGAAAGTTTTTAGGTCCTCACTTATTGTCTCTGAATCAACAGTTGTTGTAGGTGAAGAGAAAAACGAAGGAAGACAGATATTTTACGTATTTAACTTCATATAAAGCACTTTCAATACTAAAATATCCTCTTTCCATTTTATTAGTTATTAAAATTGGATTTGAAATTTTTAATAAAATTAGAGAAAAATTGCAAGTATTTCCTGCAACCCAATTCGGTTTCAATTTAGTTTAAAGAATTTCATTTAAATGAAAGAATGATATGAGACTGATATGAAAATTAATTATTAAATTCCAGAAATTCAGCATTTGAAGTTGAATGCAGTGTCACAGACTCGTTTTACGACTGACGGAATGACTTAACTTACACTTTAAGATAACTAATATGAACCAATTATATCCTCTGTGAAAAGCAAGACTTAAGTATTTTATGTTGTCCTTCCATGTCATCTCCACACTATGGATCTTTATTTTTTCTTGAAATTTGATTTCTTCGCCTTTCTTCGAGTTTTCAGTATTTAGTGTAATCATTTACCTTCGAAAGTAATCCATCATCTCATCAGCAAGCAGTTGTAAGTTGTTCACAATAGCATTAGCATTTTTGTCAGAGTGAGTGTTTTAGCTTAAAGCCACACTAATGCAAATAAATTCTTCAATGTTTATTGGGAAAGAGCTGCAGATTTGACACCAATGTTTTCTCAAATAGTCGGGATCGCCAATCGAATGTTTTTATTCCAGACAGGTATTGGATTTAGATGCGAACATTTTAAAGTCTATAAAAAATTGTAACCGAATTTTCTTAATATTGCTCTGAGTTAGATTTTGGGAAAATAGTGGCCCTGATGTAGCAAAGAGTTGTGGCGTCTGACAATAGTCTAATGTGAACTCAGTCGTACTCTACCCCAAGTATGACTGGGATACCTACATACCACGTAAACCACAGAGCATGAGTGAATATTTCGTGTTTGTTATTGTTTATTCCATTATCATATAAAGATTGAGCTCCTTATATTTGTTAAAATGAAATAAGATGAAGATAAAAAATCTTCGAGCTTTACATTCATACATATGCAACTACCATTTTAGTCCTTTGAATTGTGATTAGCAAATTAACCAACACTATTGTGTTTTTTAAATCCTTTCCACTTTACTAACTTTGTTCTAAAAACATAACAAAAATAAGCTTGAAATATGAAACTCCTTAGACTAAGTGGCATGTTATGCAGATAGTCATGGTCACGTCAAATGTGAAATTGTTGTTGCTCTCACTTAAGTAAAACTATTGAGAATGAGAGAAATTTCGAATAAAACAGTGCAGCTGAGTAACAAATGTCTGTACTTGCGCCTTCATAAGATAGCCGTCGTAAGATTGTGAAATTACCAGGACCAATTAAGGTCCGTCGTAGTATTTCAAACAACGTAAAAACAAAAAGACATGAAAATAGATAAAAAAAAAATATGTTAGAGTAGTTATAAGAATGAAGTAAACACTTCAATTTTTCGTCGTAGGGTGTATAAGCACTACACGTATTCATATAATTGGGTATTGCTACTCTAAGTTATCACTGGTATCTTCGGAGATCGTAGTGCATCGGTTGATGACCATATTGTTTAGATCAGGGCTGTTCAAAGTACGGCCCGCGGGCTGCATACTAAGGTTTGTGCGGCTCGTGACATGTTTTTAATCAACCACAATTACGCAAATTAACTTTTGGTGTGCTGGTAAAACCACATTATTTTATTTTTATGCTATACCAAATAAATGAATTTAAATTGAAAAATTTATAAATCTAAATTCAACATTATAATCGTATTTTATTTTTGTCAAAAACAATTACCAACATATGTATTCGTTTCTGCGACCCTCCAATTGGTATAGTGATTTTTATTGACCTGCTATTGCATCTGCTCTGGACAGCCCTGGATGAGATGATGATACGCAATGAATAAAGAAACAATGTTTGTCACCGAAATATTTCCGATTTATATATCAGTTCAAATATTTTTCAATCTTTTGTATTTTGCAGCATTTGAAATATTAAAAAAAAATTTTAAATATTAACATAGTATTTTCTGACAAAGCTTTGAAAAATGTTGTCAGGAAGGAATATTTTTTATAAAAATAGTTTCAAAAATTGAGTTGGTATTATATAATATAATATAAAACGTGCAATTTGATTAATCTGTTGCGATTAAAAGTTGCAAGGAAGTATTGTATTTTTCATTGCACAATCACAGTTCTACGATTTTCTACAAGGGATCAAAAAATCGTAAGACATATTGTAAACAACTATTGAATTTCATTAATTTTCATCTTTTCAAACCAGTGAGAAAATTTCTTTAAAGACTTTAACCTAAAAATCGTATGTATGCAATTAATTTGTGGTGAATTCCTACCTACGGACATATAAGCTATTGAAATATGCTGCCCAGAATATGGCCTAATAATTTGGAATTGGAACATATTGGACAAAAATTGAAGGTGCACGTGAAAGATGGCTCAACCTACGAAGGCACTCTTAATGAAGTGGAGTTTGATAAACTTATTTTGATTCATGCCACTCGAAACTCTATGCCGTGCAGTGGAATGGTCTCATTATTGTAAAATGAATTCTAGTCACAATTATTTTCATTTAATTATTACTTAATTTTACTTTATCAATAGGTTCGAAAACATTGACTATATTCCGGAAGTGAATGTTAAGAAAGAAGTTAACGGTGGCCAAAATAGTGAAACAAGTGAAAATCTAAGAAAAGGTTGGGTGCAACATACGAGTAAACCAAATTTGCCCAGCTCAGTTGTGCCAAAACCCGATAACTTACCATCTTCTGCACCTACAAAGCCTTCTAAGTTAAAGCAGAACAAGCCAACCGAAATAGAAGCAGCTGCTGATAAAGTTGTCCAAAAAACTGGAAAGGAGTTTATTCATCCTCCGTGGCTCTCGAACGAGTTTGAAAATAGCCATAATAGTATATTAGATATAGGAAAATCTGAAAAATCTTCTTATCACAAACCCGAACGTAGGTTCAATTCATTTAATGTACTTAGATGTGACAGAGTAAAGAATTGGGTATCTGACGCACCGAAAAGAAACAATGGCAATTATAGTGCTCCGGAAAATGGTAATATCGATGCTAAAGAAAGTTATGGAAAAAACTACAATGGAAACGGGCCGCCTAAGGATATGTCAACCTCTAATAAGATTGCAGCAGCAATGCGCCGAACTGAATTGCCAGATGCTGCGTCATTGTCCGGGTATGACTCTGATGTAATGGAATCGTGCGGGATAGCGACTGAGGGTTTAGTTACACAAGGTGCATTCGGGGGTTACGACTCTGATGAAACCGCTACACCTAATGAACAAGCATGTTGGCAAGACTGTAACGTGTTAAATGAAAATACTCAACAGCAATCTCCTGAAGATAATAAGGAAACAATGTATCAGTATTCTAACAGAAATACTTCTAATCTTTCCCAACCCCAACAAGTAAATAATTACAATCAACAAGTCAACTCAAGGAACTTTCCTATAAATAAAAACAGTCGTAATATTGCGTTTAAGCCAGCTCAACCGCAAAATAAAAGCAGTTTGCTAACAAAGCCCATTGTTTCAAAGCTTGCAAATTCAAACAACAAATCTTTGCCAAAATTGCCAGGTATACAAAGAGTATATTCTGAGAACAAACCCATGCAGAGTAGCACTGGCGCGATTAGCAAGACCATAACATTTCACCTCGGCAACCGTCAAATGAGTCGTCAAACGCCACCTCTGGAGAATGGAGTTTCGAGTTTGACGAGCAAGTCTAACAGGCAATATGCCCAGAATAGTTTTATTAGAGGTGGACCTCATATCTCCAAATATAAGCACCAAAGCACCTTGAATCGTGCACAAAATGTCGCGGGCAATAACACAGATGATGATGCAATCAATACCGAACATTCTCATATAATATTTAAAACTTTTAACGGATGTGTCATACCATCCGTTTCAGTGGATCTACGTGAAAAAATTCGTCTAACTGCCGCTAGAACCGGTTTAGTCGCTAAAGAAACGAACGCGTTTTTGGCGCGTGGAATTTGTGACCTAGCAATTTCATTGCTGAAGCATGTCTGTCATGTATCAGATGAAGAAAATTTCGACACCAATGTGGATGTTGTTATTATATGTGAAGGTGCCATAGAAGTGGGCCTAATGACTGGTCTATTGCTTAATGGACATTCTTTTACAGTTTGTCTATACAAACATGATGAATTAAGTTCGGGCTTTGATGTAAATTCATCTATTAAACGCCAAAGTAGCATAGAGTATTTTAAAAGAACCGGGAATAGAGTAGTTGATTCCGTTAATAAGTTACTTACACCAAATCTAATCATTTTGTGCACTAGTGTAGTAAGTGATGTTATCCTACCGGACGAAGTAATTAATTGGATATACAATACCCAACGTGACGTTTTAGTTGTAGATCCACCACCGTGTTTCCAGTTAGATCGTCTTAATGCGCAAAAATTCGCGGCATTGCCAATTTTGCCGGTTGTAGGAATTGAGGAAAGTTATTCGCAGCTGTATCTCATTAACTTATTCATACCATACGATTTTTTTGCAGAAGAAGGTGTTGAGTTTGAAAATCCGTTTGGAATGAAAAACATTCTCCGTCTATACCCGAAAACAATTTGAAATGCAAGTACTTATGTACGCAAAATTGTAAGTTGGTCTATAATTTTGATAGTGAATAACAAAATTGGTTGTGATATAGTCTTTTTTATGGAAGACCAGATCTTGTTGCGTTTAAACTAGATCTCAGTGTATTTTGTGAAATATATATTTATAAAACCAAAACTTCAATTGCTTTTTTAATACTTTGTCATACAGTTATACATATATCTTGGAATACAATACAAGGAATTTAAGTATATTATATATGTTAAGCAGTTTATGTTGAAGCTATTTAAGTCAGTGCACTTAAACACTTTTACTCTTTCTTAACTCGAGGTATTTTCAAAACTCCTCTTTACACCTTGACTAGATTATTGTGTATCACTTCATCAGACTAAGCAATAATTGACCTCAGAGAAGTCCCTGAGACTGCCATTCGTGCTAATGTACCATGGTACTTTGAAAAGTCTTCTCAGAGTCTGGCTTTGTGCAATTTATAGCTTGCAAATAGTAGTGTTTAGTAGTATTATACAATTTCCACTGCAGCAAAAAGCTAGTTATGTTAATGAAACTAAGATTTGGTTGTTTCCATTGGCATAAGCTGAATTAAGCATATGTAGTAGCTTGTTTGTTTACATTTTAGATATAAAACATATGCCAAATATTTCAAATTTTGAGTTAATTTTCTATGTGGGAACTTTAAAATGTTGCATTCGACACTTTTCGCCGCAAACTGGTTGATTTATTTATAATGAACTCATTTATATGAAAGTTCTTCGTATAATAAATTATCATCATTCGCAAAACTCTGTTAATAAGAAAAATGGAAACATGGTATTAAACACAAATATTTTCGAAATTAACCAAATAATCTATTGCAGTTTTTCTATTCCAAGTTGAAAATTTTTAGATAAAAAAGTACTTCTGCATATAGTGCAAAAATCACAAATTGAAATCAAGTGATGGTTCTAATTGATATGTAGGCATGTATAAAATCTCTCACACTCTCTTAGTGTGTATACTTAAATATAATAAATTCAGTTTGTTTCGAATCGTGGAACGAGACCGGTGTTTTATATTAGCCGGAAATATAGGTATTACTAATAAATTTCAATATATGAAAGAGAAAATATATGCAAAGAATCATACCATGTCAAAGCTAAAACATTGAAAACCTAAACTCGCCGGTCTCGCTGCTAGCTCGTTGTAGACCGATATATCGTATCAGCGAAACTGTGCTTTGAATTGGAGAATATTTACTAAATACTATTTTATATAGAAAGCAAATGTTATGGTAGTAAGGGCAGTTAATTTTAGTCTCTACTTAAACAATGAGAAGAAAATATATATACGCATAAGTGACATTTTTCCTTATATACAACGATTATATTGGAAACGACTTTTAACAAAAATGACTCTTGATAAAATGACTCTTGATAGGCATTTTTTTTAATAGACAAAGTCATAGGTTTCGTACTTGCAGTGAGGTCACATACGCTGGTATGGTCAATGTTTATCGTACCGTGCAATACATTTGCCAATAAAAGAAAAGCAAAATTATTTTGAAATGGACAGTGGTTTTCTACGACTTATTATTTTTGTGTCTTACGGTGTTTTATGCTATCTCCATATACAGTCTCCTAAATCAACCTAAACAATTTACGGCTATTGACAAATCTAAAAAATTTAGTAATTCACATAACCAAATCACGTTATCTTATTCATAAGAGGTTTTTCTAAAAACAGAAATTGACCACTTCTTAAACAGTAAACTGACCTAAAAGTAATTTCTAGTTTAAAGTCCTAAATCTCATATTCTTTAATGAAGGCCATAAACTTATTTCCTGTCAATCTCAGGGCACAACAAGATGAATTGACTAGAAGCTTCAGACTTCATTTTACAGAATCTGAAATTAGCTTTTCTTGATTTCAGTTTCAAAAGATGAGAATAAAAAAGATAATCTGAACTCAAGTGGGAACCTTGGCTGAGAACCTTGTTAACAAATTTGTTGTTAACACGAATAAGCTATTTCAGTTATCTTAATCTCTTTAAGGATTCCTTATACAGTTTGTATTTGATGTGACTAAGTGTTGATATAGTCCAAGTAGATACTTTGGTCTGAGTTCTATTACGAGAGTTAGAGAACTCTGCAGAAATAACCAGAATGGTTTATAACAACATCCGAGAATATTCACAGGATGACAATCTAAAGCATTTATTTCAAATTCTTTTATATCATGGTTCCGATTTGTAGGAAAAACTTTGCTGCGTGTATGTTTACTTTGGAACACAGATTATGTAGTATAGAGATAACTATTTGAAAATGATTTGGAAGTTAATGATTTCATTAAAAATTATAATAAATTTAAATATAAGTCACTTTGAATTTTATTAACATTATTGCAATTTTTAAACATTTGTAATTGCTTAGCACAGTTGTGAAAATTTAAGTTCAATGGTGGCTTAAAGTTTTAGACATATTTTCAATGGGAGTCACTATAGGTTAAATGCTCTAAAACACATTTGACTGCATATTTATCAATTTAGGTACAGTGGAAGGATAATCACAATAGTAATTAGCCATTTAGGAACCATGGATTGATATTTAAAGATCTCTAATCAGCGTATACTGCTCAATAAAACAGTGTAAATAATTATTAACTCTGGTTACTTAGTCTTTGGTCTCAACAACGTGCATGGATGTTTAGTTGCTTCGTTTAACTACTTTATTTAAAATACATATACATCCCGTGAACTGGATGACGTTTTTCTTTTATTCTCTTAGAGTTGCCATGATATCAGTTTTGCGAAAATGACAACCAGCTATTTGGAAGGGTTGCTATGTTGTTAGTATTGTTACCACAGATGTAAAAGGGGCAATTAAACTAATATTAGTAGTTTAATATATATATTTTTACAGAAGAGAGCTTAAAACTTATTTTCAAACCTTTGTCTTGACTTCATTACATATGACGACATATGAAGAACAATAATTATTACATATTAGTATGAATATATTAGGCAGTTTTAAGATATTTTTTAACTTTTGTCTTAGCTTGATTACATGGAAAAACATAAGATGAAAACTAATTCTTAAATGAGTAAATCAGTATGCTTATGTATAGAAGAGTGTCACTGTGCATATGTAGAAAGATATTAGTATCTCATTAGTAATTTAGAAGTTTCATTCTGTGGTTTTTGTCAAACACATTATGATTTTCAGTGCTTTAAAATCTCATAAAATACTCAGAAAATATTATAAATCCACTTATTTTAGAATTATTAAAAGGCAATTTTCTTGAGGAAATTGATTGTTTTATCATTTCTCAAAAATCACATCAACTTTTTGACTTTTGGTTACCGACAACATTAAATGCTTGACTTTTCTAAACGGAAAGACACAATGAGAATTTGTATGTGATGAAATGTCTTATAAGGACGTTTTGAAGCTTTGTCAACTATACTTGGAAAAGATGTAAGTGTCCGTATTAAGTGAAATAAATACAAAGAAACCCTTAACCTTAAACCCTTAAAACAAAAACATGAAAGTTGGAAATTTTTAAATAATGAAGCAGTGTTCACACTGACAACCGCTTTTGCGGTGGAAGTGATAATAAAGCCTGACACTTGACAAAGATTTAAGCGCGCGCCCAAAAGAATGCAATGAAAAATGAGCAGGAAATGTAAAAACACGGCTACCACAAAGCGTCGCTCACACGCAGGTGTTAAAAAAATGATAAGCGTGACAGGGAACACAAAAACAACAAACCGGAAGTTGCCAAAAAAAGATGGGGCATGAGGCAGAAAACTCTAGACTGCTTATTATGTCAACAATGGAAACCGCTGCCATTTATCTTAACGTGGCATGATTCTGAGCTAGAGCGGAAGTGCTTGCCACGGGTTAACAGTGTTGTTACATGTAATAATGAGATAGAACTAGGGACGAGTAGTGAACAAATTTAAGGAAACTCGCCCGTTCTCTCCCTTCGTTTTGGCGAAGCAAATATGGCAACATTTGTCATTTGCGTACGTAAAAACCAAATTCCTCAACTGTTACTCTGTCGGCTATACATTGCAAGTAGGGCGGTGTGTGTGGGTCGGTCGAAAGCCTAGCGTTTTTTTATAATAATGTATTGAAAATGGTACAAATCAAATCTAGTGAAAATGAGAGAGGAAGAAAAAGAAGAAAAATTTGCAGCTGTTGTGGCATTTGAAAAATTTTTTAATTTTTCTTTTTAATTATAATAAAGCGTTTTAAGTAAAATTTTTTTCAACTTGTTTCATTGTATCGTTTCAGAGGCAATATACGGGCGCTTTGGATGGGCGTACTTTGGGCACTTACATCGGGCACAGGTGTTGCCGTGGCATTGCTGCAAGGTTATGCAGGACCACTGATTGGTGTAGCCATTTCAGCCTCACTGCTGCCGCCAGTAGTAAATTGTGTAAGTAGAAACGACCGAAGGCAACGCAACAAATCGTGTAGAGCAGAAAGTACTTTTTCGAAATTTTTTATTTTTGGCATTTTATTCAAAATTTGTACGTGTTACTGCGTTCATTTCGGAATGATAAAAACAGCAACTCTGAGGTGCTTTGGACGGTGGGCGCGTGCTGAACATTTGTCGGAAATATTACTAATTAGAAATGCAGAACGAGAATAACGAATGGCACACAAAAGGGCTATTTTTAATGAGTTTTCATGTTAAACGATTTTTAGGAAGTAGAAAAATATTTGTTTAAAATGGGTTTACACATAGCTGAATTATAAAAGATTTCGTGTGAAGTGTATGAGCCCAAAAGCAATCATTTCACTTCCCGTTTTTTGTTGTTTTTTATAAGTGAAAATAAATACAAACATGTATTTGCGATGATATCGAAGTAAAGTAATCAGTATAAGTGAAAAAAATTGAAATTTCAGTTTAAAAGAATTCACTAAAATTGAATGAAATCAACCAAGTGTTCCAAATAAACATGAACGAAGTATATCAAAGTCGAATGGTAGGAAAATTTGTTACTTTAGCCTAGAAAGGCATCAAATCCGCTATATCTAAGATGTCTTCAAGTCATTTATCTCTTAGTGCGGGCACATTATCCACTTAGACAGCAAATTTAGTATACTCTGTCATTATTAAATGATTTGTGATGATATTGCGAATTGTTACTTTGTAGCTTTGTCAGTTATTGTTTTTAAAACGACACAAAATACATAAATATCCTGAAAATAAGTACTGCTAAAAATAAAAGATAATATATGAATATAAATTGGCACATATTGGCCCCAGCTGAATCCTTATATCAGTTATTATTCTATTAATACTGAAAATAAAATATTTTAATGCTTTGAGTTTCACCGACTTCTTCAATGACAAGGTGATGATGATATAGAGAAGAAACACATGTCTCTGTATAAAATAGTATGTGAAACTAAATGAGATCAGATTACTGTGGAGTACAGTTCACAGGAATATTACACAGAACTATTATCTACCCATTATATACTATATTAATGAACGACTTGATTGTGTCGGGAGAAATGAGAAATATTGTGGTCAATGGTTCACCACATGTTAGCTCAATGCATGTTAGTTCTCAATCATCAAAATATATGTCACAAGAAGCAGTGTTGCCAACTGAAAATTCAAGCATTGAAAATCACCCAATGTAAGAAACGGTCTTACTAATTCTTTTTGGCACACACCTACTTCACATCATGAATTATTGATGACCCGTAAAAAAGAACATTATACATATTATAACTTTACATGATAATGGTTGAAGTGGTAACTTCATCCCGATCTATTGGTTCAATGTGTTACTATATAAGCAACTCAAAGGTAGTTCAAAACCCATTTTGAACCTTTTTCAAAGCTTATAATGCTGTTTAACGCGAAATGCTGGAGTTGACGAAGTTTCTCAAAAAAGGATGTCTCTGCAATAGTTAATTGGCACCACACCTGCGCTGGACAGAAAGAAAATAGGTGCTAGGCACTTTCATTGTCGTCTCTGCAACTGCGACAGGAATGATTAGATGGGAGACACAATTTTTCAGTATGTACCCCCAATGGGCAATGACCCGTGAGGAAACCTACCACAAGACTGACATGTTAATGGGTCACCTTAATTATAGAGCTGAATTTTGTTTTGAAAAGAACACGACCAACTTGCATAGAGATGTCTGAATAACGTTGAGTTTTTCCATGGTAGTTTTCCTAATGTCTTCCATTCCAGCCATTCGCTCCTTAATAGACCAGAAGCGTGTAATGATACTCAGAAGGAAATATTGTGCTGGAATATTTACTCAGCAAAATGTTCAGTGAGGAAAAGAGTTCATCCTAGTTTACTTTTTCGGATTTTGAAAAGCCTAAGTAACGTTTACGTAAGTGTGATTTTTGACCAATGTGAAGGTATGATCTGTAATTGCTGCTTCTCTGTTAGTTAAGCGAAAAATAATTACGAAGATATAACCAATTTCAGATAAAAAAAATTCATAATATTATAAACACAAAGAACACTAATTTGTGTATTTAACATGTTTTTAATTAGCTGAGTAAATTTGCTAATATGCATTTGTTAATGAATCAAATTTGCAGCTGCGGAGCGGACCCGGCAAGTGCAACTGCAACGCTAAAGCTACAAACTACGAGATCAAAGCACGTACGACCCAAATGGGTAAACGCCATTTTTGGCGTTTGGCATTGGCCAACGCCTGGGCAGGACAGGAAATGAGTTTGTGTCTTCCGTTTTTGTATTTACCATTTTGTAGTCGTTTGTGGCCATTTTTGTGGCATTTAAATAAACAAAGCGCAAAGAGTATTGTCCTTTGTAATTTTAGTTGTAATATTTTTGCAATTATTTTTTGTTCGGTTTTATGTTTCGGGGGCTTTGCATTTCTGGTAGCAAAAGCAATTTGGCGATTTATTGCAGTCAAAGCAGCAGTAATAGCAGCAATGAAACCACGACTAGACCGAGTGCCAAGCTATTAATTGTCTCTGTGCTTTGTTCTAACGCTAATGTATTTTTATACATGTGTGAAATGCATAAGCGAGTGTGCTTGTGCGAGATTTAGTACTTGAGTACTTGAGTAGATTTATTTAAAACCATATCCGCAGATCCTGGAACAAAGGAAAAAATGTGCAAACACTTCCGTCCGAGCTACTACTATGCGCACTTATACCAGGACCAGGACGAAGTGAAATATACACGTGCACACACGTGCACTGGCATTGCAGTTGCTCACTTATGTCACAGCTGCCATGATTAAGTGATTTTAGCGCCCTGGCATGAAGCCTTCCCAGCGTTTTATACATTCGAATGCGAACTCATAACGTTGCGTTGTTAAATGTAATTTGTAATTTGTTTGTGGGTCACATTTTGTCAGTCCAATGTGGTCTTATTATCGCATACTGGGTGCTTTGTGGTTGACGCACACTTCAACTACCACAAAGACGAAATTGTGCTCTTTCAGTTAATACCAAGATTTTACCATTTCATTTAACTTTTTAATCCTTTTGTCGCCTGCCCTGCACCTCGCACCGCGCACCACGCTCTGAGTACAGCTCGTAATCCGTTGAGGCGTTTGCATACAATATGCATACATACGAATGTTGAAAAAGGATTCCTTTTCTTGCATGATAAATGCTTTTTACTGAGCAGATAATTTTCACATTTAATGTCGGAATGCATTTTTAAACAGTGCGCCTTTAGCTCTCCACTTTACTTCTGGAAAATGGGTCAAAATTAACGTTGAGTCGATTTTAAAATTTTTGTTTGCTCAGCATTTGATTTTTTTGCGTGTGTCTAGAGAAGTAACAGATTTATGGCAAAAACTTGTACATTCACTTCAGATTAATCAGCAGATTGCATTCAACTTTTAGAGTTCGAGCAAAGTTTATGAGTATAATTTCGTTACGGCATATTAACGTACGAAATAATGGCCGCGTAGGCACTACTTGCAGTGCTCGGAATGCAAGTGCGCAATCCTTCCGAATGACTCAGTTAGTACATGAAGAAGTTCTTACAAAATTTAATGGCTTTAAGGAAAGCCAATTTATGGTATTTAAAAGAACGCAGAATATAAAGTTTAACTCACTGAATGTTTCTGGCACATTTAGACATTTATAGTTTCTGCAATTAAAAATTAAGTTTCTGCAATGGTAATATTTCTTTTAATTGGTATGGCATTCATTGCTCCAGCCAATGAATCCTAATATTACTGATTGATCTTCTTTGCAGATTGTAGAATGGAACAGATTGAGAAAACGGGTATTAACATTGCAACACAAAATTTGTGTTTATAAAATTTTACGCCACAACATAAAATAATAATAAAACAATAACAAAAGTAATAAAACAATTATCAAAAACCACTACTAAATTTAATACAATAAATAACAACAGAACAACAACAAAGTTTTCAATGTTCCAGCTACAAAAACAAAAGACCAGAATACATTACAGTTCTCCGGTATAAAAGGCGAGAAAAAAATGCTAGCAAATCAATTCCTAAGAGGTGGTTTTAGAGGGTTCATGTCTCATATTGTGGCTTTATACTTTCCACCTACTGCAAAAAAAAAAGAAGCAAATCAATTAACAAGGTAACGAGGTAGAAGACAGGTCGCTGAAACATCAGGAATAGAGACTGCCATTGCTGTTCCCATTTTATTAATTAAGTATTAGAAATATACATTTCTATTGCTTATTAATTACTAACGAAATCAACATTTCGTTAGTGACCATTTCCAAGGCGGAAACAATTCCTGTTTGCGATTATCACTAAATCGTTCCTGGACAAACGAAATACACATTTCGTTAGAAAACATACCAGGCGCAGGAGAAATTTGCATTTCTACTACGAATGATTTCACAGCAAAGAAACCTACATTTCTGTAGCAAGACCTAACGTCCATCTGCGTCGTATGTTAGGTCTTCTAGATACCATCGCAAACTTTCCACTGTTTCTAACAAATAAATTTATTGTAGGACTGAACCTGGAATCCGGCGAGCGAAACCGGCGAAAAAAGTGCGGCACAACAGAAATATTTAAACTTTTACTTGAAGATATATACAGTCCTTAACATTAGCATTCCTTTTATTGCAAATCTATGTAAAATTGCTGCTACATTATGCTGCGTTCAAAAGACATTGAGAAAGATCTATAAGCTCACATTAGTTATATCATTAATGTCAGTGAAAAAGCGTTCTAAACAATCCAGGGTAAAGAAATAGAACTCGGTGAATGGATTTCATTCCTTTTCTTATTATACCAGCTCTTTTATTATACCAGTTTACAAAATACACTAGCCCGGTACCATCAGCGTAATAGTACTGATTAAAGCTATTGAAATGGCTTATCAAAATACCTTGGCATCACTTTTCGACAAACTTTAATCATTTGAAACAATGTTTTAGTGCAAAACACCATTTACTTTACATATGTGACGCAGAT